CAGGGTTCCGCCTAGGGGGTGGGTACATTTACTTCGCCTTTGTCTCCCCCCGGGGACGAGAACCAAAAACGGGTTTTTGGCCCACCCTGGGGACCTTTGACAAGATGGTTTACTGTACAAGCAACCATCACAGGGACCCTCGGGCCAAGAAATAAACGTTGCAAAGGGGGGCCAACTTTCCCCTTGGGGGTATCTTAATCAGGGGCCCCCCGGTCCCGTCCGCGGGGACCCTCCCCCCCCGGCTTTCGAGCCCCCCCCCCCCCCCGAACTTGGCCTCCGTCCACGACTCTGGGGGGGGTGTCCACTCGGCGCCCCCGCCCTCGTACGACGCTCGCTTGTCTTGGGACGAGGGCGAGGGTGTTGGTGCTCGTGGGGGCGGCTGTTGTGTGTCACCAAGACGGCGGATTTTCTCCGCTACGAGGAGCTGCACCAAGCCTTCTTTCTGGAGCGGTGTTGGGATGCCGTTGTTGTCGTCGGTTTTCGTTCGTGGTGCGTTAGCGTTAGGGTTATGGTTAGGGTTAAGTTGTTGGTGGTTGTTGGACGGGATGGAGGTGTAGGTTAGGCGGTGGCGGGGTGGATGAGACTTTCGAGAGCGATAGATCCAACACACCGAAGGTCAGGGGTTTCGCATGAGTACAGTACTGGGGCAAGGACTGCAGTACAACACCCCGAAGGGATCTCACGTGTAGGTGCAAGAAGCCTTCGGTCCCGCATACCGTACCGAACCGAACCGTACCGAACTGTACCGAAGTAAACCACTTCGGCATTCGCGCCGTAAGGTGATGCAATTACGGTGCAAAATGTGAGTGGCAATACCATCTGATTATGAGTTTACAAATGAAGCTGCACCACCAAATTGAAGGTTCTCCTCGAGGGGAGCCTCGTTCTTCCCAAAGCCCTTCTCATTGAGGCACCCAAACGGTCGGTTCATGTGGAAGCATCAGAGAGAGGCGGCGTTGTAGAGAGACCATTCTGTCAAAGCTGATGTCGTCACTCTGCCGTTGTGGAATGGTATATAGCGATTATGCCGCTCTGCCATGTACGCAATGTACGTACAATCACGACTACAGCGGGTAGATGACACAATATAACACACACCCTGGACCGATTTCAAAGCTCGATCACTCCACGAAGAAGAACATGCATGAAGGAAAAACGAAACGATACGTTTTCAGAAAGCTCTCGACGAGACGGTTCCAACGCCGCCGACTTCGGCGCTGTGCCTCTTCCTGCTGTCGAGAAATCGAGCTTTGAAAATCGGTCCAGGGGGTGTGTTATCTTTGTGTAACACTTGTAGTCTCTTTGTTTGTAGCACATGCTGCTGTAACATGCACGCACGCTGTAACATGTCATTGCAAAACGCTATTGACGCTAGCACGAAGGCCGGTACGTGGCAGAATAGAAAAAAGCAAAGATGGCCAAATTTCGCATGCGACTCAGATGGTGGACAGGCAGTTTGTATTCATGAAGTCTTCCTGCGTTGGGCACGCGCTGCGCTGTTTGGTACACGCAGAAGAAACATGACATTCTCAGCAAACAATTCTCGCTGCTGCAACTTTTGTTCTCCATCTCACGCTCACCTCAAAAACACCCGTGGTGGGCACGCTCATCTCTTCTAACGCTAGCTTGATCTTCGATGCCCTCATCTCCCTTACTTCCCCCTCTATCTCATTCTCCTCTGCTCCCATCCTCAACGCCCCTCTCGATCGGCATGCCCGCCGACTCAACGTTGCCGGAAACTGCGGCCGAACTATAGACAAGGCAAATTGGCTGCTTCTTGTTGAACTGCTCGGCGAGTGCAATGTAGACCGGACAGCTGTCCATGATTCACTTGGCGGGAAAAGTGTTAACAAGAGGGACACCAGTGATCGACACCGGAACGTCATGGCCTGCTAGCCAGACGTGACCAGCAAAGCAAAGATCACAACCGGCTGAGCAGTGCGGAGGAGACGATCGAGGGGGTCAGAGAATCGGAACGGCGGAACCCAAACTGAGGCATACGCCCATGTCGTCGCAGCCCGGTCTGGTGTGCCCCTGATGCTATCCCCCCGCACTCCCGCACTCCTGTCCTGTCTCACTTCGTCCGTGGTCTTTCCACACCTTCCACACACACACCTCACCTACACTGCCACGGAAAAGGACCGCGGTTGGATCTAGGAGGGTTTCTGCGACCGTATCGAGCTATCTGGCCGAGCTCTTAAAAAAGCAGACTTCTCTGCTATCGGAGGAAACAGACAGCGGGCAGCTGGATCCAAACAAACAAATAAACCCGCCGCATCTGGAGTCGGCGCAACGTCAAGTCAACAGCAGTCATCATGATGTTGGCGTCGTCTACCCGACTGCTTGGCCATGGGGCTAGCAGGCGGTGGCAACTCGCGCGGGAACTCTCGACGATCAAGCAGGTAATGGCGTGCGTGTTGGCCGACGTTGTGTCTCCCGAGGAGAACGTATGCCACACTGGTCGCCCTCTCTTTGTTGTGCAGCGCAATTTCTCTCTGCGTTCTGTGTGTGCTGCAACGCAACCTCCCGGGGGAAGGTAAATAAGGACCTTGCTTTCGAAATGTGGTTGCGTCCGGCTGGCGTTGCGCTTATACCCTACACGAGGTAGGTTCCTAAGGCAGGGGTTGTCGATGGTTGCTGCTGTAGCAAACTTCTTTCGCTCACAGCAGTAGGTCGGTGATGGAGGCCTGTCTGTTCGCTCGGGTTGAAGTGCAAATCGTTGTACACACGATTGTTCCGCCATCTTGGCAATGTGCCGGGGACAAGAGGGCTTGGCTTGACTTGCCGAGACCACCCTATCCACGAAACACTGCAGCCCTCTACCCCTTTAGTCCCGAATGGATCACATTTTCCGTTCGGACGGGGGCGGCAAACCACGATAAAGCATTACAGTAGTCTACCCTTTCGCCGCTTGGTTTTCGGGTTGATGTGGCTTATGTGGAGCAGCGGCTGTGCCGGAAGAAAGCGGTGTGCTTCTCTCTCTTGCCTACAATGACCAGGCTGCACATGAGGCAGCCCCGCTCGTCCCCCGATGCTCCCTGTTGTTTCTTTGGCTGACGCTCAAGTTACCCTATTGGGCCAACGTGTTGTTTATTTGGCTTGTGCTCAGTGTACCTTGATGGGCAAAACGAAGTGCAAGAATCGTAGAAAAATATCATGTAAGTCGTCTGTATGTATAGGCACCCGCCTCTACATGTAGACTCTCCGCAAAAGCACAACATTTACTCCGAGGTAGAAAGGAGTGTCAGACTATACATAAGTCTTTAAACGAAGAAGCTCGAGATTCTTCGTGGATCGACTGACCAACAGCAATTCCCAGAGGTGTAGGTTTTCGATAACTACATCGAGAGGTCCAGCGCTCCGTTTCGAGTGCACGTGCAATTCTTGATAAAATTTAGATTTCGGTCCAGGTGGACAGAGTCATGACGTAAGTTGAGCACCGCCGCAAGCAAGCACAGCTCACCAACCTGCCCCACGCATTGTTGCCTTGACACTAGCAACCGTTCCCGTCTCCGCTCATTACCTTGTAATGCCCGTTCTGGTCCAACCGACGCGGACGTCTTACGTGGTCACAAGCCAACTGCCCAGTTTGTTTTGTTATTGTCTTGACTTCAAATCAGCGCTCACAGCGTTTGTACCGTTTACTCCACAACCCAATGGACAGTAAATAAACCCAATCCTCGGCGCCTCCTCTTGCCTTGCCAGGTGGGCGTTGTCGGGCTTGGGCTTATGGGCCACGGTGTCGTCCAGGTGACCGCGATGGCCTCGTCCCCGGAGTACACGGTCGTCGCCGTCGACGGGAGCAAGGACTCCATTGACGCTGGGAAGAAGCGGATCGACCAGTCGCTCTCGAAGATGCTGGACCGGAAGGTGAAGAAGGGCGTTCTTACGGAGGGAGACGCCGCCGCTCAGAAGGAGGGGATCTCGTCGCGGATATCGTACGCTTCTGACGTGTCGGCCCTGGCGGATTGCGACTTGGTCGTGGAGGCGATCACGGAGAACCCGGAGATCAAGTTCTCCCTCTTCAAGGACCTCGCGCGAGTCACTCGTCCGGACTGCATCCTGGCCTCCAACACGTCTTCGTTGAGCATCAAGGTGACCCCCTCTCGAATACAACGTCTTGAGTGTCAAGGTGGGGGTGGGACGAACAGTCGCGAGTTGCGCCGCATGTGGAACCCACCATTGACTTCTTATAGAGGCAAAAAATATACCGCTAAACAGGTAGACTAGTCAGCGCGGCGCCGACTAGTCTAAATATCTCTTTCGTGTGGATCGCTTCACTACCGCGTATATGCTCTCTCACCCGCTCCCCTCCCAAAACACATGCCGGTTGTTGCTCCTGATTCAGGAAACGGCCGTGAATATATGCTCTCACCCGCTCCCCCTCCCACAACACATGCCGCTTGATGCTCCTCATTCCAGGAGAAATGGCCGTGAAAATAAGCTCTTACCCGCCCCCCTCCCAAAACACATGCATGCCGATTTTTGCTCCTCATTCCAGGAAATGGCCGTAGCTTCGGGGCGCCCGTCGCACGTCGTCGGCCTTCACTTCTTTAACCCCGTGCAACTGATGAAGCTGGTGGAGGTGGTCCGTTGCGATGTGACTGACCCGGTCGTGTTTGAGGAATGCAAGTCTTGGGCACAGACCGTCGGCAAGCACCCGGTGTCGTGCGTGGACACGCCTGGCTTTATCGTGAACAGGTGGGGGATGAGTGTCACGCAGACCTAGTATCACGCAGACCCCAGTCAGGCTTTATTGTGGACAGGTGGGATGGGGTAGCTATCACGCAAACACCAACAAGAATTTATCTTCAACGGGTGGGATGAAGAGCTATCAGTAACGCAACCGGTGGCCAGCAGTATCAAGGGATGGCGAGTGTCCAGCCGTACCTTTACCTTTTGACGCTAATCTATTTTTCCTTCTTGCATCTCTCGTGTAAAACCTTTTCACATCTCTCGTGAAACACACGTACAGGCTGCTCGTGCCCGGCCTTGCCCAAGGAATGCTCATGTACGACCGGGGTGACGGGTCAGTGGAGGACATCGACAAGTCCATGGAACTTGGGGCTGGACATCCCATGGGACCACTCACATTGGCGGTGCGTTTGCTGTTTCTTCATTGTTTTGGCGCTCACTGGAAACATTAGCACAGCGAATGCATATGCTTGCGCACAGTTTTTGGACCTCATGGCGCCAGCACTGCCTGTTGATGCAAGCACACGTGTTTTTCTGTGGTACCAAAACACGTGTTTTTTGTTGGGGGTCTTTTAGCTACCTTCTTGTGTGACCACAGTTCTGTAAGCGCTGATTTGACGTCATGAACAAAACGAGAAGTATTTCTGAAGCCATCGCTCCCCTGTTGATCCCATGCATCGGCACAGGACTACGTGGGTCTCGACATCTGCCTCTCGATCTTGGATGGATGGGTGCAAAAATACCCGGATGAACCTTCGTTCGTCGTGCCGGAATGCTTGCGGGAAAAGGTGGCGGCCGGCAAGCTCGGACGGAAGAGCGGCGAGGGCTTCTATCTGTGGGACGGCGACAAGCGGACAACCGTGGCGCCTTGATACCCGAGTAGCGCTTTCAAGGCACAATAAAAAAAAAACAATTTGAATATTGTCTCCGTGTGGTTTGGCATGCCATCACCCCCGCTCTGCGCTCCTTTATCGAGCAGAAAAACTCGCAAACGAGAGATAGATGCGGTATGTATCTTGGTTTTTGGGACGATAGATATCCTTGTATTGTGTCGACCAGCGACAACAGAACGGAAACGCGAGAAATGCTCCCGGTGACCCTGACACTCCGGCGAAGCGATGCTGCACGTGCGGTCCGCGTTTGCCGGACCCATCGCCGTCCGTCCGGATTAGCACCCGGAGCCAGCGGGTCCGCAAGTCGGGAAACGCTGCTGTCAGTGATTCAACACCAGTCTTGAGCATGCAAACGGCCCGAGCCCCTGTTGTCGGGAGTGACTGGCCCATTCAAAACTTAACGCCGAGTCGCTCTCGCACACCACACCATCTGAATCATCGAAACAAGGGAGTTGAAATGATGTGGGACTTCGTTCTCTCAGTGACTTTCGTCTGAACAGTAGCGCTACTTTTATTCCGGAATATTGTACGGTAAGCGTGTGTGTACGGTGAGGTGAGAGTGCTTGCTTGAGACGGGGTCAATCTTGAAAGGCATGCTCAAGCGTTGAGCCACAGACAGGAGCCTACCAACCAAAGAATGGTCTATTCTTCACAGTACCCGTTCATGCGACTCGCCAAATACCTCACGGCGCTTCGCGCTCGGTGCTGTGAGAGCCTGGTCCGGTGAGAACCCGGCGTGCTCCGTCCCGGCTTTGTGGGGATGCAAGGTCAATGGTCTAACGACTACGGCATGCACGACTGTGAGTACACCCCCACCCCACCCCACCCCAGCCTACACAGGCCGTCATATAGCAGCCACAAAATGATGGGAGTGAGTGCGTTTCTTCGAAGAGTGAGTGCAAGAGCCAGCGACCGACCGAAAACACTCTGAGAGAAGAAAAACACGCCGAAAAACGAGTTTTTTGTTGGACAGCGACCATGGCACACAGCTGCGGTTGGACACGACTAGTGTCTTGGTCGCTCGGTGGCCAACAACGGAAATGGCGGGGGATCGGATGCTTGTAGCCGATGACTCATCATTTCTTCATGTGAGTTATCCCCACATACGTAGAACGACCAAATAAACCAAGCGGCAGTCGACTTTATTTGCCTCTATCTGTATGGCTACGGTGGTGGTCCCGATAAACAGTTAGCGTTGGCGTCCGCACCAAAGAATCTGGGAGTTAAGAAATCCAGGCTCAAAACAGAGGAACTTTAAGAACTTGGTCATAAGAACACGTGCTCACTCCTACACTGGAACCTATATGGTCGCTGTTGGGTACTTCATTATAGTGAACATAAGAAACAGAAACGAGCCTTGCGCGAAATGGGTGGTGCTCATGTGCGGGCGCTAACTGTATCGCCGTTCCCGATTTATCGCGGTAAACATTTCTGGGCACAACATCTGTAACCCTACTCAAGTAAGTTGCCATTTAGGGACCTTTCCCCAAAGCATGAGTCCCGATATAACGTGGTGATTCTTCTCCGTCACTTTTTTATATTCATTTTTCACACCGCGATAAACCATTCCACACAACAAGAGGCAAAAAACGTGTGAATTCACACCAAAATAAATGCAGCAGTGCTCGCGGGTGCTTGTCATAACACAGCAGTTGTTGTTGTTGTTGTTGTTGTCTTCACATTAAACTCGTGTCAGTTGCTAATCCCAAAATCTAGCAAAGACGCAGTCTGTGGTCAGAAAAAAGGCTAGAGCCATCAGAAGATCTAAAGAACACGCACACTAGCAAGAAAAGGGTACACAAGCCCGAAGAAGTACACCTTCATCCCTGCAGCACGTTTGCGTGCCCAAAAACTGAACTACCCGTCCAAACACTACGTTCGACTACAGCAGCAGCATCCCTCCCGTCCCACACTTTCCAAACCAAACGAATGTTTGTCGACTACAGCGTACAGCTGTGTTTGGAGTGCTGCCTGTACAAAAATACCATGGTAGGCATGGTACAAGTTCGAGGCGCGCAACTGCTGTCTGAAGTGCTGTCAGGATGCGTCCAACACAGTGTGACGGCGCCATGAGAGGACACCAACTGCCCGAGACGCCGCCATTGATGAGAGATGATAGGCTCTCGACAACAATCAAACACAAGATAAGATACATGATATGATATGAGATGAGATGAGGCCCTGACACCAAAAGGAAGGAAGTGCGCCCGGCGATTTCTCTGCTTACGCTACAGCAGTACCGGCATACGGGAACGATCAACCAATACTACGAAGCCCACAACTAGTCTTGCTTGCGGAGACCAGACCACACACTTGAGTTTCGTATCTTGTCGTCCCATTCAGCGAGTCTACACACCTTACGGTGGACGTTTTTTAGGTATCAGCCAGGGTCACGCATGAGGAAGGTCCACACGGGAGCTACTCATTGTGTGTGCCCCGCCCTTTCCCTCCTGCGGTACAGTACTTGCTGTACGATAAACGGATATTGACACACACAACGTGGACTACATACACACAGAGAGACAAGAGAGAAGCTGCCGCAAACTACACCTTGGCCAACGCCTACACCTACACCCGAAAATGGAAAAACTTCTCGCATGAGACATACATACAGACAAAATTCTCTCATGAGACATACATACGGACAGACTGATGATGCAACGCCAGCGGCCAAAGAAACAACGACGGAGAAAAGTGCAAGGGCACAGCAGTAACCCCCATAACTGAAGACAAAACGAAGTGTGATGAAAAACAAAACGAACTACAAATGCACATCATCGTCAGCCTTCCCTCCCATCAAACAAAGAAGAAGATAAATAAGCAGATCGCCAAGCACACACAAACAGGTCAGATTCTATTGTAGCACCAGTTCGAATATCTAAAAGTACCTCTAGTCCGCAGCAGGCAACGACAACAACAGCAACAGCAACAGCAAAGACAACTATCCGTCAAATTCGCAACATGTTGCTGAATGAAGTGTTGGCAACTGCATCGAACGCATATCGTACTCACTTGATACGGTGGCCCTTACCCTTGCGACCCACGCCGGCAAAAATTCAACAAAGTGTAGAGACAAAATGAGACAAAGCACTTAGAGACGAAACAATTAGACAAAAAACAAGTCGAGTGGGTTGAAGAGAAAAACACACCATCGAAGGCGTCAAGGACCACCACTTTTCTTGGTCCCTACTATGCATATAGTGATAAGACAAAACTACAATGTAACTGCAGGGAGGGCCGTTCACCCCGCGAAATAATTGGGAGAATCTCACATTTAAACAATTTTATTATACACAACTTTCAGAGATGGTACACAGATTTCTCTCCGACATTTTTCAACAAACAGAAACACATCAAGTATGGACATGGAAAATTATGCTTCCCACCAAAAAGGACTGTACTTTACTCCCGAACAACGCATTGTATGCATACCGTATCTGTAAATATTTCTAGTTGTACTTGCCCGCCAGGCGTTCATGCTGCTGTTGCAACTCCTCGCAATGTTGACCTGGTCCTACCTGCATACCGTACACGCGAAGGTGTCCGAGTTTCCTGGAAAACCACGAAAGAAAGTGCATCTGCAGCAACAATAACCGTACAATACGCCCCCATCAAATACAAACAATGTACACAGCAGGCTCATATTGCTGCCTTGCCACCTACTCTGAACGCAGGCTGCGCCCAACATTTGGGGACAGCGCCACTTGGGCACGAAAGCTACCACGAGTCACACGTCTGTACGTCAATCTACGCAGACGGCCGGCCAAACCCCAGGATACTGGTGGCGGACGCTCTTGTCGAGGCCATGCCGTCCCGGCAGTGAGCGCTGCCGCCTACAGAACACAACATCAATAGTGACGAGGCGCGTTGCGATAGGAACCCTCCCTTTAGAGTGCTGTGAAGTTGGCATCTTGCTCGATGGTTTCGGTGCATCCTCCTCGACACCGACCGGCCAAAAAGCTCCACTTCTGCAAAAGAAGGCAAGAAACACCCTTCGAAACAATCGCCGCGAAATACAACGCTAAACAGCGGCGACGCCTTCCTCCCCGGCAAATCAGACCCAACCCCGACTACCGGCTGTGACCTAGCAGCGCCAACACATGGCTATTTTGCAGGTGTTTTGTATCTCATCTCGGCATTGTACAAGCCCCACCCTCAGGTCACTTGAGCACTGCTGAGAGCGGCAGTGTTGAACTCGCCGCCTCATCATGGCCATTGGCATCGCCGTCGTCATCGCCATCGTCGCAGCCCGCCGCCGCAGACGCCCCCTCCCACCGCAACCGCTCCCGCCCCGATCTCCACACGGTGGCCATCTTGACACCGGCTCCCCTCCAAGCTGCTTCCCCCAATCCCCCGTCCCCCCCAAAGGAAAAGAACGCCCTCATCCCTGACAACGCCACCGCAACTGCCTGCCACATCGCGGCCAACGAAGGCACGGGCTCTTCGACCGACTCCTGCGGGGGAGAAAAGAACGTCCCCGCCACTGCCGACAGAGCCGCTAGCCCGCACACCAACGCGACCGTCGCGCCGATGACTCTCCCCCACCTCATCCGGATCTTCCCTCTGGCCCTCACGCCGTGCGGGTTTCCGCCCCGCGGCGGCACCGGGGATGGGGGACGTACGTCCCCTCCCTGCTCGCGATCGGCTTCCTCCTGACCGCGAGCCGCGAGACCACCACCACCGCCGCCGCCGCCGGTCTTGGTCCTCTTCCCCCAGGGCATACTCCAACGCCGGGGCTTCCCGCCGCCCGCACCCCCCCGTCGCTGCCCCTCGACCCCAGCAGCGGCACCACCACCATCGACAACAACGTCGGATTCTCGGTTCGGCTGTCGTCGTCCGCTACCGTCAGATGCTCCGGGCCGAGCGCTACTGCTGCTGCTGCTGCTGCTGCTGCGGAACACTGCTATCGACCGAGTCCTGGGCGGGGACACCAAAACCGGCAGCGAGGGGACGGTTCCTCCGCGTCCCCGGGGTGTCGCAGTATCATTCTCGGCGCCATCCCCCCCGCTGAAATCATGGTACGAACCCCCTACTCCGCCGGAGCTATTAGTAGTGGCCGTGCTGCTGCTGCCGCTCGAGGCTACTGACCCCCTTCTCCGACGCGCCCCCCGCCCCCTCAGCGGTGACGCTGCGAAGAACGAAGACGTCGACTGCCGCTGCGGCCCGTTGCCACTAACGCACGGCTCCAACGCGGGCGTGGTGCCGGGGGGCGCAAACGCCGGAGGATTCGCGGCGTCGAAATTGAAAGGGTTTCGAACTACCATCGCGGCAGCGGCAGCGGCAGCGGCGGAGGGGGAGGGGGGATGCCGCCGCCCAGTCGGGGAGGAAGGGGTAGTAGCGAAGACGCTGCCGCCAGCGCCGGCGGCAGCGGCGGCGGCGGCGGTTGCGGCGGTTGCGGACATGGCGTGGGAGAGCGCGAGGCGAGTGCGGCACGACCTTCTCGCCTCCTTGAGACCCATGACCAAGGCCTTGCCCCACCGCTTGTACAGCTTGCTCAGGGACTGGCCCACCACCAACAGGACGAAGTACAGATTAAACCTGGCTCGTATCGTACGGGTACAAGTGGTGCGTGTTCCCGAGAAGTCACAGAGGGGCGGAGGGGCGGAGGTTATGTTGGGGTGGCATGGTCTTGAAAGCCCAATATCAAGCCAAAATCAAAATTGAGGGTTTCAGTGTCAGAGTTGACAACCTTCATCGAGCACCCAATGCATATATAACTTCCTGGGAACGAGCATATCAGCAAGATGCGACCTGTTTGATCCTTGCGCGGAGCCAACAGTTGGCTATTCACACCCGAAAACGACCGACACCGAGAGCCAACGACTAATACTGAGAGGCAACGACCAATACCGAGAGGCTACGACCAATAATGAGAGGCAACGACCAACACCGAGAGGCAACGACCGACACCGAGACGCTGTCGCACCCACAACACTCCACAAAGTCAGAGCGCCACGTCTACCTTCCGGAAACGTATAGCCAGAGCTGGAGGACCATGTGAGCGAATAGCGCCGTCATCGTGAGACCCAGATCCCTTGCGCGCAGCGGGTGAAACCTCTGCCGGATCATGATGAGCATCATGCCCATCTTGTCCAGCTGTCCGAGGAGCAGGCGCAGCCCGACAAAGGTAACGACAAAGGTAACGACAAAGGTAAATATTCCAAGGTTTGAGAGGTCGGCAGCCGGGCAGTCGATGTTGACGACGTGGTTGGTGTGGGAGGTGATCACAGGTGTCGGCTTTAGTCACAGAGCCCTCTTGAAGTTGACCTGTGACAATGTACTGCTGCTGCTGCTGCTGCTGCAGTTTCGTTATTGTGGTGGCTATTGTTTTGGCGTGATGGGGCACAGAAAACCGTTCCATCGATATGCTTCATGAGTCAATCGTCGATTGAAAATAAAACTTCCTCGGCACAGCATAGGTGCGTCGGATCAACTACGGGACGAGGTGTGCCCTCTATCTCTCTCTATCTATCTATCTCTCTATCTCGCCCCCTCGCTACCATGATGTTTTCAAGAGGTGATTGTACGGCATCCTGGCCAAACCAAGTGCAGCGGCATGGAGGAGTCTAGTATCCGCACCTGAAATGCAGATAGTATATTGACAGTAATAGTGATAGTGATAGTGATAGTGATAGTGATAGTGATAGTGACAGTGACAGTAGTTAGAGTGACAGGGCTGGTGCTCACCCCTAGCTGTATGCTCGGTCCGCTCTTGGTGAAAAAAACTTTCCCGAGCTGGTTCACCACCGCCGGCACCCTCTTCGTTCCGCCAAGCCTCTCGTACAGCTCGCGTAGCTGATGGATTATGGCCGACAGACAGACAGACAGACAGACAGATAGAGAGACAAAAAGACAGACGGGGGGCGCACATAAGCGAGAGAGTCCAATTTCAGCAGCCGGCCACGACGCGAAACAGCAACTACGCACGGCAGCAGTAGCGACAGACAGCAACAGCAGCAACATAAACCCCAGCAACAATCCAATAATCCACGTGAAATCCGAAAAACGCCGACGACGAACAAATCACAATGATTCCAACGATTCCAACAACAGAGCCTCTCCTCTCCGGACGTATTAACCCACACAACAACCTACCGAGCAGGGATTTTTCGCCCACCTACAAATATTCCTTCCAAAAGAAATTGGCCATTCAGAAAACATTCTCTCCCTACGGGGTTGAACCTTGCAGCAAGCACCAAGGCCATTCCTCGACTCACGCAAAATAAGACGCCGTCCGTTTCCCCTCCTGCTGACCCCACCAGTGTGATATTCTGCTGTACAACTTTGCTTGCCTTCTTGTTTCTATTTTTTTTTTTAGCTCAAGCAATTCGTCGATGAGTATCACGTCACGTGGCCCACCACCGTCTCTCTCTCTCCTTACTCCTATCTACACTGTTGTACATACATATCGCGGCACCACGGCATACCACGGTGAGGTACAGAACGGACCCGCAGTGAAGAAGTATTTTCGTTTAGAAACAGAGGCTCAAACCTTTTATGAAAAAAAAGAAGATCGGCGGTGGATTCAACAGTGAACTCTCCATCCAGTACAGCATGCAGTATGCCGCCCTCAGTGCCGACGAAGAAAGAAGCCGAGCCTCGACCCGGTGTTGACCTTTCCTATCTCCCGTTCTGTGTTCCACGGTACGGTATTCCACAAAGCTCGCTCACCTCCGGGTCGCGGGTACCGCGAACGGGCAGCAGCTTCTTGATCTTCTTGCTCCCCGCCCCGGCCGCGGAGATCACGCCCCCCTTAGCAACCCCCGCGGCGTGAACAACGTCTCTGGAAACCCCAGACCCAACTCCCGGTCCGGTGTAAGAGTTATTGCTGTCGATCGCGGCGGCGTTCGAGATGGACAGAGCACGCGGAGTGGAGGGGGGCTGGGAGGCTCCGCTGCTGGCTGCGAAGATCGACGTCCGGGCCATGGTCGTAGGCGTCGTTATGGTCGAGGGGGGGGCAGACCTTGGCGCCTTGGCCCCTGCGTTGCCGTGGAGTGCCCGTGGAGTGAATTGGGATTGGGGGAGGGGGGGCGAACTCGCGCCCTAGTTGTTAGACCATTGAGATCGCGTCCTCTAGGGGAGGGGGCATATTTGCTAGCACAATCTCGAATGGGGGACAAGCGGAGGCGGGCGAGTGGAGAGTACTCATGTTCTGCATCCCGTAGCGGTTAGACCATTGACACCACGGGTACCCGGGGGGGAAGGATACTTGCGTTCACTTTCTGGAATCGGGGACCATTGAGGGGGAGGGGGCTTTGCAGGAGGCCGTGCAGCGTTCGTTGGTTACAGGCGTGGAGGTGATTGGCCTTCGCGAGACAGCGGGCCAACAAATCAGCCCCGCAGAAAAAAAATACTACGAATTCCTTACGGGGGGCACTAGAACATGTCTCGACTCCTATACCCTACTAAAACCGGACTATTTTATCGTCATCCAGCTGGCTATTTTGGAGGTACTAGTAAAAATTATCCAAGCGTAGCAACGAATACCGACGTCTTCTACCTGTCAGTCGGTTCCTCGTTTAACAAACATCACCAGAATCATGCACAAACACATTGATACACCAGAGCAACAGGTATAAATCACATATAGCGCTATGCAGACACGCATACACATGAAAGAAACGCAAAAGGCAAAAAACAAAAACTTACTCCAAGGCGCGGTCCGCGACGGTGCCGATGAGCTGTTCCGTAATGCTACGCCAGCCGAAGCGGAGCCCACAGCATTTGCGGTGACAGGATCGGGGTCGCTTACCCTCCGTCTAATCGGTGCGCCGCGATTCCTTAGAGTGAAGAATCCGGAGCACACGAAGCACATTGTCGTAAACCGCGGTGGAGCAAAATAGCAAAATAGGGTGCGAAGGCTTTCACATAAGTTCAGTGAGCCATGCACCCGGCAGATTTGAGTGCCTGAATAGTCAAAGGCTGAAAGCATTGCGTCTACAATGGATAACAACAAGCAGGCCGATTCGCCGGTTGGTTTCTCACTCAGAACCGGTCCTACGTCGCAACAAAAGCGGAAGCCGGCTGCAGAACGAGGATGCTCTGGTTGGCTCTCCTACTTGTAGCACATTTCCAAGCATAAAAGAGCCAATTCTCGTGTAGTTCTTGTGGGTGTTATTACTATGTTTGTTAAGTTGTGCGATAAATTCCTCATTTCATTGAGCCTTGCTCGCATGTCTCCACCTTCCGTATGGTAATATGTTGCCTCTCGACCTCAAGGGCTCCGATCGATGCGGGGCCATGAACAAGACGAGAAACACAAAAACAATCATTCTCGTGCACGATGCATGCCTACATCCCACGGCACGTGTGGCAGCGGCTCCACCACACAAAACTACTTCTAAAAAGACAAGCACATAACAGTCATCTACAGCAAAGCTCGCACTCACCCTCGGATGAGTGAGCGTGAGAGCGAGAAGAAGGTCGTCGAGCTCTTCCGCTGACTGAACACAGTGAGGAGAGAGCGGGCGAAACAGACAACAGTAAGACGATGAAAATAGTTTAGGCGGCACCGGAAGAGACAGGGGGAACATTCGCAGGTACCAGAACTCATGTCAGCGATGCACCCCTCAAGTGCCGCGGACCATCAAAATATCGTGTGAAGGGGAAAGCAGCGGCAACGTTGATCATTGGTAGTTTCATTATCTTGGTCACAGCAGCAGTCTTTGCACCATGGCGTGTCGTTTCGACAGACACGCCAGACACTTTTCCTTTTCTGCGTTCAACGGCGGTAGACCACCAAAAAAAAATGAAACCATGCGGTAAGGCGTTGTTTGTACGGGAACACTTAATAGTACGAAGCCGGTTGATTGGCTGGGAGCTACAGCACGCAGCCGAAAACACCCCGCACGCCACCAATACGACGACGGGATAACTTCAGCAGTACAGCAGCCTCGACAAGGCTCCACCATGACCGGTTTGTTTCGCCAATCGTTCAAGCTTGCAAACACAAGTTGTGCCCGTCCAACACCCTGTTCCCTTGGGGGAGGTACTAACACAAGCCCCCCCCGGCAAAGACCCCCGGGTGTGGCTTGGCCTGTACGGCGGTCAACAATTCGTCTGCCTGTCATGTCACACCGCTCCCCCCGGGAAGTAAATCGCTTCGGGGGGAGGGTTGCGGACGTAATCCTAGCATGCCTGCAACGTACACCAATCGTGAAACCCTGGATGGGCATTGTACGGCAGTCAACAAATAATGCGTCTGCCTCCCCAGAGGAACGACATTACCTCGGGGGGTTAGGATTTGTAGACGCAATCCCCGCCGGTTACTACGCCGTGTCTGCAACGCGTGCACCAAACGTGCCAGCCCCTCTCTCTCTGTTTTTTCCTTCACCTTCGAGAAGTTGACCGCATGGACATGGACATGGACATGGACAGTTGCGTGGTTTCCTCCCCTCCCCCCCCTCCGCCTCCGCCTCCCTCCTGACCTCCGCCGCCAACACGGGCGGGAGAGACGGGCGATGACGCAAACGCCGCGGGCAAAAACAACAAGCTCTGACGCCGGCTGCCGCCCCTGGTGCCGACGTTGTCGCCCGACCATGGCGTCCCAAGCAAGGACGACGACAAACCTTCGTCTTGGACGGCGCTAGGCGCGTCCGTCGCCGCCGGGGCGGTTGCCAGCGATGAGGGGGAGTGGTTCTTAGAGGTCGGGTCAGTCGACGCCGGTGCCGCAGCTGTTGCTGCTGCTGCTGCTGCTGCTGTTGTTGTAGCGTTGTCGGTGCCGTCATCCTGGGCAAAAATTCCTCCGCCGCCGCCGCCGCCGCCGCCGCTGCGACGTTTCCTGGTGGAGGGTAAGTATGGTAGTATTTTGGCAATGAAAACGAACTCTCGACGAGAAATTTCCAAGAGCACGCTTGCCGGTTTCGGAACTCTCTCCTACTTGTGGAGCAATCGCTGAGTTTAAGTCTGTCTAGGGGGGAGCGCGACCACTCCCGCGATTCCGGTCCTACGACAACTCACCCACGTCGAACCGAATTCTTCGGGCCCCGAACACGCCTCCCTGCCTTTGTTCATATCGTCCCGGTAAAGAACACGTTTGACGAGTTGTCTCACTCTTAGGACCACCAACAACGTCCAACGACAAGCACCAGACAAGCTAACCTCGAGCTCCCGACCACCCACTCACAGGTAGGCGGACACGGCGATGCGCATTAGCGCCCCGTTGATAACCACGATCAACACGGGCGGCACGACAAGCATTGCCACCACAGCCAAAATCCACATCAAGCTGGGAGCAAACGGAGGAGCATCAGCGGGTCGGGTCGCCAAGAAGGGTCAACGGCAGCATCGGCATCGAGATCTGAGAACGGTTTCACCCATGGGAAGCGATTGGATACCTGCCAGACAATTGTCAATATCCTCCGCGGGCCCCCTGTCGAGGGGAGCCGGTGTATGCGAAAGATTCTATATAGCGTCCTTGCCGCGCGCAGAATGATGTCATTTCATTGGTCGCCTGAATAGCAGAGCAGAGTCAATGCTGGCAGAGGAAACAACAAACACACGACAAACACGCACACACCTTGCTGGGAACACACACAAGCTGCTGGTGTCTTTGTCCATCAATGGGAGAGGAACACCTACGAGCACAGAGACACGCACCCACACAAGCATACCGAAGCAGACACAAACGCACAAATAACAGACGACACAAACACACACACATGAAACAGACAAAAACAGACGCAACACACATATACGTATAAACACAACGAGACACAAGGGCGCACCTTTTCCGAGGCCGTCCCCAGCTGCTTATAGCATCCACCTCCTTCAAGAAGGTCACGTACGGCCTGAACATCTCCCAGAACACCATGCCCTTGCGGTACAGCTGGTTGGGAGAAAACACCTGTAGGGAAGGAAAACGTGGGGGGGGGGGGGGGGGGGGGGGTGTAAC